AAACAACAACAAGATAAATTGAACAACTTACTACGTATGCAATTTGTACTTTTGATTTCAATTCATGTTATAACAGCAAACAAATGTATTTTGAATATTAATTGGTTAATAAACAATAACAATAACTTTATTGTTTATTGCTTAATGACAAGAAACTGTTTTGTGCGTAGCACTCGAGCTATTTACATAATATTTATCACTTCCTTCTACTTCTCCGTGTAGACATCGCTAATTCTTCATCTTGAAAGCAAAGGCTAGTGGGTTGAACTACATAAATGAGTAAGATAGCATTGCTTATGAAATATCTCTTTTCAGGCCCTTAAAATGAATAAACGAAACGTTTCTATAGATCTATAGATCAAATAGTCGTTTATTGGTTTCTCCGTTAAGATTAACATCTGAAATCGTCATAATTCGTAATTTTCAATTTAGAAACTATTTATTTACGATGACGATGGTGGCAATACAACCGATGTGTTGCAATTTACCACTATAAATTACAAAACCATTTATGCTTTCATCGACAATGGTGCATAATCATCATCATCATAAGACCCTCAGTCCTAAGACTGATTGGATAGGCATCTCCACTTTTCTTATCCTGATCTAATCTTTCCATTCTGATGTAGGTCTATCTCTCCTCCTCTTAGCTCCTGTTTCTGCTTCTAATATGTTTCTAACTAGCCCTGCATACTATCCTATACTTTCATAGCAACCCTTGCTCTACTACTCTCTTTAATACTTTCCCAAATCTAATCTTTTCTATCCACGGTATCTTCATCATTAGCCTGTAACACGACATTTCGAACGTTTCTAACCTTTTCTTTACCGCTGCTCCCACCGTTCACGTTTCGCACCCCTCCACTGTCATGATCCAGACATTAGTACAAACAATTTTTGAACTCTGCTCTATCCTCTATTTTAAATCTCTAGACTTCCTAGATACCTAAAATCAACCACTTCTTCGTCTCCTATCTTTATATTCAGAAATTGTGTATTATCTGCGTGTACTACATGCAGTATTTAAAGTCTTCTTCGTATTTCATTTTGAGAGTAGTCTTCTGAGATAAAGACTGACAAACAGACAGACAGGAAGTGTTAAAATAAAATCCTGTGGAAGAATGTAGCAAACGTTCTGTGTACGAAATAACTTTCGAGAAATCTAACAAGACAAACACCACAACGGACGATACTCAAAACTTTTTACTTTGTGTAGACTTTAGAACAATACTCCTGAGCTGTTCTACCTGAATAGCTTCAAAAGCTTATCTATTAAGCTACTTTAACGATAATTAAAAGGACAGGTACTTATACAGTTACGTAGTTGTTGAGTAAATAACATGAAACGATATTAAAAACACCTCAAAAAGTGCGATACTATTATTAAATAAATAAATAGCTCAGAGAATAATAAGTGCTTGTAGAAAGTCTACAAGGAATTTGATTTGGTAACTGATTTCATTCATTTATATTATGTTTACTTTTTTCGATGTTAAGAAATATTGTGTGAATTTAATAAGAGAAAGTTTAAAGTACTTAATTGCATCCTTTTTTACTTGTGTTAAGCCTAACGATAATTTTATGTTGAAATTGCTGTAATTTAGGCTATTTAAAATAGTTTTTTTTTTACTTATTCGATAAAATTGGAGGTGAATATTAGGTAGTATTGAATAAAATAATTCGAAACTGCCAGACGCGGATCGCGATTTCGATCCTTTTGGACCAACCTTTACCTGCTGTCTTAACAGCGCGTTTTAGAAAATACCACCACCAATGGCG